ATCCTGACTTTACAGAAGCAAGTTACTCTGTATTACCTTAGCACTTTTCCAACATCCCCAGGGAGCACTCCTATCCTATAGGTCAAGGAAGGCACAGACCAACCTGTTGCTACCAGTTTCAGGTACTATGTTTTATCTTCAAATAACTCACTGTCAAAATTTTAACAAGTCAGATTAAAGGCAAAAGCACAACAAATAAAGCCCTTTCTGTTCATTAAACAAAAAAAATTATAAATCTAAGTTTGCTTGTTGTGTCACTACAAACCCGTTCCATAAAATTATCTTCAGCCTTTATGTCCATCATTGCTCAAAAGGATAAACTGAAGAAAAAGACTGTGGCAAACCCTAGAAGATAGAAAGGTGTCCTATATTCATGGATTGGGAAAATCAATATTGTGAAAATGAACATCCTACCAAAAGCAATGTGCAGATTTAATGCAATTCCAATGCAAATCCCCATGAGAGTCTCACAATATAGAAGAAAAAAAAAATCTTAAAATTCACCTGGAAACATAGAAGACTCTAGATAGTCAAAACACTCCTGAATAAAATGAACAATGCAGTGCTGGAAGGATTACCTGATATTTGACAAAGATGACATAATCACACAGAGGAAAAGACAGCAACTTTAACGAATGGTGCTGGGAAAACCAGATGCTCACATATAGACCCATATGTCTAACAGAGCACACAAATCAACTGCAAATGGATCAAAGACTTTAATGTGAAAACTGAAATGGCTAGAAGAAAATACAGGCAGTACCTGTAAGAGACAGGAGAAGGAAAAGACTCTGAATAGGACTCTATTTGCTCAAGAATTAAGGCCAACAGTTGACAAATAGGACCTCACTAAACTAAAAAGCTTCTGTACAGCAAAGGAACAAGTCAATTGAAGAAGCAGCATACAGAGTGGGAGAGGATCTTTGCCAGTTATACATCCAAGAGAGGATTGATATCCAGAATATACAAAAAGCTCATAAACAAAACAAAACAAAACAAAAAAACCAACAAATGATCCAATTTTAAAAAGGGCTATGGATCTGAATAGAGTTCTCAAAAGAAGAAATAAAAATGGCTAAGATGTGAGTGTACATGCACAAACACACACAGAGTTATGCCATATGTGGTGATAATGCTCACCCGCAAACCTACAGACCAACTAACAAAAACCCAGTGCCAGGCATGAGGAACCTCCCTTTGAATTGTTGGTTAAACTCCCCAAACAATATAGGCTATTGCCATTGCCCTTGATTGCCTCCCAGAACTTGAAGGTAAGATAATGCTGAAGATATTATATATTTTGGGCACAAGACTTCAAGGAATCAAACTTGAATTGGCCTGGAAATCTCCTCCCTGAAGACAAGCTCTCATAATACTAGAGGTGCTTATGCAAACTGCCAAGGGAGAAAAACAATCAATAGCCTTCCAATGTAAAGCCTAAGAACTAGAACAATGACCAGCCCAGCAAGATGCCCCTAATAGTGCAATAGTGATACTTTTATCTTGGGGGTAACCACAACTATCTAAATTGACCTTAAAGTCTGCTAAGTAGAAGGGAATTCATGTCTGTTTATCTAGCCAAATATCTGGGCCTGGAGAAGTCAAGGTCCTAAAGGAAAACCTACTACTGCTGTTTTCCAAAATCAATATAATTTCTAATTGTACTCTAAATATTTATCTTTAAACCTACAGGTAAATGTACTTTTCACCCTTCATTAAAGAAGCTGATTTATTCCAACAGATGGAGACGATTACACAGATCTATAACTGACCAAAATGCAGAGAATACATGACAAAGGGGCATCCAACAATAACTGATACATCTAAATCGCAATCCCTACACTTAAGCTTCAGGGAACATTGTAGAAGAGAGGGCAGAAAGACTGTAAGAGCCAGAGGACCAGGACATCTGTTGCTAGAGAGTGTCACCTAGGCATGACCGAGTAGCTACACCTATGCAAATCTCTACAGTATGGTTGCCTAAACATGACCTGTATGTTAACACAAGATGACATGCCAATATGGATTGGGGAAATTTCACAAAGTCTCACTCTTAGATAAAGAGCAACAGGCAATCAATGGTGCTGAGAGAAGGAGAACCAGTTTTCTAGGGTTGAGCTCCCTGATAGGTTATCCAATCCCAAGGAGTCAGTTAAAACAGATGTACTAAATGGACTCAGTAGTGTTTGTGTTTGTGTGTGTGTGTGTGTGTGTGTGTGTGTGTAGTATATATGTAACAATAATTAAAGAAGAGGACTGTGAATTTGAGAGGGAGTGGGGGTTCACGCAGGAGGAGTTGGAGGGGGGAGAAGGGGTGGAAATGGCATAAATACATATGAATTCTCAAAAAAAAAAAGGACTTAATCAAGAGACCAACCATAAATATGGCTATGAAACAGTGAAATCAAAAGTTGCTTAGAGATAGGAGAAAGTATCTGCAAAGATTTTAGTTTGGCTGGGCAGCACATATTCCTAGGAGTACTATCAACCTAGCCATGACCTCACAAATTCTTTGCTATGGAGGGCTGTTTGGGCCTTACTGGATATTTATTTTCTACCCACTTGATGCTAGTTAGCATTCTACCCTGGGTGTGACATCCAAAAGGATCATTGGCAAATGTCTCCTGGGGAGCAAAGGTCTACCCTGTTAAGTGCTCTAGAATGACCTGTTACCTTCTTTTACTAAGGAGGAACATCAAATAGAACACTCAGGTCTCAAACTCAAAATACACCCCTCTCATTTGCAATGGGAAAAAGAGATTTAAAAGAGAGGTCAGAGAATATTGGTGGCTATTTTCCATTAGGAAGTAAACCAAGTGAGGCATGAGTTAAGTTTCTTAACAAAAAAAATGAGACGTGGTTCCAAAAGCAAGCAAGCATCAAGGATTGTGCTTTTGGACACTGGAGAAGGAAAAAAGGCAAAACTAAAACTGAAAGAAAACAAAAACCCTAGGGCAGAGCCTGTACTTCTTGGATGGCTGCAATGCTGATTTCCAGTGTAATAAACTGGAGAAAAAGGGGCTGTGTCCTTATTACACTGTCTGAAGTCTGACACTATAAATGAACACAGACCCCTTGGCTACCAACCCACACCTGACCTGAATATCAGTGACAGACAGGCAAACATTCCAATAGTTACAAGATAACAAAAAGTTACCTTCTATGAAGGACCCATTTTAACATGTGAAAATCCAGAAACTTAGCTGTATTTTAATAACATGCCACTTGCTGCCCCTGATAGCTATACTTTTTGTTTCCTAGTAAGTGAAAACTCATTTACATACACACACACGTAGACACAGATGTGTTTTCATTTCAATACTTAGGATATATAGTCCACTATCACTGCCTTTAAGTTTCTACAGTTGTATGTTTTTCCCCCAAGAAGTTGTTTTAAGTAGCTTCAGAACTAGCTAGATCCCATAAGCTGTGCAGTGTCATGAGCCTCGTTCCCAATCTGACAAATGGGCACAAATGAAATTTACTTATTCAAAGTTGCTTCATGGCTAGTACCTGGGCCACTATCCAGAACACATTTAACATGTAATTATTAGAATGCTGTTCTGTCACATATAAACACACCAGAAACTCCCATTTCTTCCACACACTCTTAGGGAAGTGCAAGTTTTTGAGGAGAGGGAGGTATCAAGTACATGTTACAATAGATGCTAACAAAGGTAATTATTATTTGCCACGGTAAAAAGCAAGGTAGGATAAAAGGTGGAAATATTCAGCATTCTCTTTGGGAAGACATTTGAAAAGAATTCCAATAACCTGAATTACATCTGGTATCCAGCAGCTTATGAGGAGAGATTCAAAGTTTCACAGACGAAAATTAAAACAAAACAACAACAACAAAAAACTGGGAGGGTACAGAAGGACTACAAGAAGGGACTAGAAGGTCAGAAGGATCAAAAGGGGAGAAAGCAAACCAAAACAGTAATGGAAAGTTGGAAGGAGAGTTACATAAGACATGAAATTCAATAACATTTCTCTCCTAATTCTTTTAAGAACAGTAAACATGTTAGAGAACAGGTTTACTTAAAGAACAGGTTAGACATGTTTCAAAGAAGCCTGGTTGTAATTATCACTGTTTATCAAATTAATAAAATTCTACTAGAAGCAACTTTTCTTTCTAGTAGTCAAAACTTACGGTTCCGTGATACACTTGAAAGATATTGCTACACTGTATTGAGCTCTTTCCCGCGCAAGTACAATAAATTGGAAATAGCCTATACTTCGGAGTGGCAGCAGATACCTGTAACCCACTACTCAATACTCCGCAGGCTAAGGCAAGAGGGTTCTGAATTGAAGTCAAACGTGGGATACAGAGTGAGTTCCAGGCCAAAGAAAAAAAGCTGTGCTAAAATGGTGAATTACCGAAGTATTAAAACGCAAACCCAAAGTATGGATTTCCTTAAGAAAATGTCAACTCGTCCAGAAGCCTACCCTGAGAAAAGGTAAATGTTACGCAATTCTCATTCTGCCACAAATAAGAGTCTTTAATGGAGGGCTAGGATACACAGGCATGAAATTGTATCCCAGCGCTTCCTTGAAGGGCAGCCCGAAATGCATGCTAAGAGGGGTCTGTAAAACCACAGCTCCAGCCTTTATGAGCACGCCCCCTTCCTCTCAATGCTCTGCACACCACCAGCTCTACAACAAGAAGTCCCTGGCCTTGTTGGCTGGATGGCCTGCCTAGCACTCCGCAGCGACCACCTTCTCTAGGCTTGAGAATCAAGGCAGAGCAGCAAGGCCCGAGGGAAGCAACCTCTGCACTCAGAAAACCTCCCGATCTGGTCCAACCCCTGCACTTAGAAACCCGCCTGATCCGGAGGTGTAGGCCCCTCTTCAACCTCCAGGCATCAAAGACCCCCAGAATGTCTCCAGCGGGGACATTCCCGGGGAGAGACACCGGAGTGTGGGCTGGGGCGGAAACCTGCACCCCAGCCCCGCTCTCCCGAGCCGCCGCGCACGACCGTGGCCGGCCCGGCACCCACCTGCACGCTGGGGAAGGCCGTCTTGAGCAGGTAGAACATCTTGCGGTTGGACAGCACGTCGCCGCTGGTCATCTTGTCGTCGGCGCCCTCGCGCGTCTTCCCCTTGGACTTCTCGTGGAGGATGTTGCTCTCGCGGACGCGCCTCACCTCGTCGCCGCCGCGCACGGCCGCCAGCACCGACACGGCCAGCATCTCGCGCAGGTCCACCATGCCGCCGTCGGCCGCAGGCCCCGCCGCTCCGCCCGCGGGCTCGCCGCCCAGGCCGAACAGGCTGAAGCGGCCGGCCAGGAAGCCGGAGTAGAGGTGGTAGAGCAGCCCGAGCCCCAGCAGGAAGAACACGGCCACCCCCAGCGGGGACAGGCGGATGCCCATGGGGGCCATGGCGCGCGAGGCCAGGCGCTCCGGGCCGCCTCGGTCCTCACCGCGCTGCGCTCGGGCTACAGCGGCTCCCGCTGCTCGGCGCCCGCGCGCCCCATGGCCGCCTTGGGGGAAGCCTCGCGCCCGCCTCCCCGCAGCGCTGCCCGCCGCCTGCCGCCCGCAGCTCGGCGGTCCACGTTGGTCAACGGCCGGGAGGTGAAAGGGGAGCGTGGGTGTGTATCCGGGTTACGCGGGGGGCGGGGTGAGCCCGAACAGGCCCCTCCCCCTGTGGGGCACGGTCTGCCCTGGGGGCGGGGCGTCCGGCTTTAGCTGCTGAGGTCCGACCGCAGTGTTTGCATTTCTAAGTGCCCCAGAGGCCTGGAGGTGCTGTCCACTGCAGAAGAGACTGCTACTGAGTACCGCGTGGCTATTTAAGTGAAGGCTGTCTCCCTTTGCACAATTACATATGGCTTATGGCTGAAATATGTCAGTGACTTCCCCTTGAGGAAAAGAACAAGCAAGGCGTTTTAAAACAAACCTGTGTATGCTTCTCCACTCCCCAGCACGAGGGTGTGAGGCCTGCAGCTTTCAGTTGCCAGCCAGGCGCTTCCATGCTGGACGGGGGCTGGGCGCTGAGGAAGGAAGCTTACTTGGTTCTTCCTGTGCTGACCTTTTTATGTGTGGATGTATAGATTTTTCTTTGCCTCCACCTGCCATCCTCTAAGTAGCTATAGCTGTTCCCTTGATCCCGGAGTCTAGGGAAGAGACTCCAGGCTTCTTTCACTTCCAAGGAAACTCTTTAGAGCTTAGCTTTCTGCCCAGAGGCTGAGTGGGAAGAATTGCTGGAAAAGGGCCACTTGATTCAAAGTACATCTAGATTACATCGTTTTGAGTCAATAAATGCCCACCAAATTGTGGTATAATACACAAACATTTGAGAGAGATAACTGCCTTCTAAAATACCACCAATCTTCATAATAGTGATAGCAAATGATACATTTTAATAAATATAAGTTTCTCATCACTTTGGAATGTACATGTAAGATGTACAGTATAGCCAGGCATGGTAGCTCACACCTGCAATCCCAGCACTCAGGAGGCTTGAGGCAGGAGGATTATTTCAAGTTTGTAGCCTTAGCTACAGAAGTCTAGGCCAACCTGAGTTAAAGAATGAGACCCTGTCTCAAAAATCTAATAAATATATAAAAAGCACAGTTCCTAAATGTAAATAAAGTATTTATATAAAATCAACACAACAACCCATTTTGTTCTTCAGTTAAAGTGCTTTGGTGTTAAGAGGATTTTAATATTATCACCTTAAAAGCTTCTGAATATCCATTGTTTGTTGATAGGGAATTCTTTCAGATTCGAAGCTTTAAGTTTCCTTATCAATCAGGCATTTCTTGAATTTGCATCTAGTTATATAGATATAATAAATACTTGATTGCATGTATTTTTTCCTGTCTGCTATTGGTAACTTGTTTAAAAATAAGAACATCTGAAAATCAAATGCAAATATGAATCTGTGAAAGGTCATTCCCTTTGGCACTGACAGCACCAGAGATTAAGGAACCAGTACCATTCTATTGAGAGTAACAGCACAATGAAGTGAACTGCATTCAAAACAAATCTGGCGGTGAAGGGCACAGAGTGTCTGTGGGTACTTACTCCACAAATAAAGCTCAGGTTGAGATATTGTCGTGAGTGGAGTTATAATACATTAAGTACAGATGTAAAGGCCAAACTACCTCAAACTGGGATAAACAAAAAGAGATGCATGGTAGACATTGAAAGGTTTATAGTGAGAAGTCTGGGGCAGTTTACCAGATCACATTGAATAACATCTAAATGGATTTTGGAAAGAATCTAGAGGTGTGTTCACTGGCGCATTGTACACAGTGAGTTCACTGGGGGAGACAACAAAAACTCCAGAGCATTTTGCTGTAGGAAAGAACATTTTTCTAAGACTTGAGGAAGAAAATGTGGAGGCAGGAGAACAGTTTAAAAATCATAGCTCTAAGAAGTGTTGTAATATGGTGATTGATAATAGATATTGATAACATAATTATTAAGAGAAGAAATGGCAATGGATTTGTATGTGTATGTGTGTGTCTAAGAAGATCAAACCCAGGGCAAGCACTTTACCATGAAGCTCTATTCCTGGTGCATGAATTGTTTAAAAAACTTTTATAAAAATACAGCCGAAGTTGGTCCTAAAATATTGGTTCACATATCTTGAGAATACTTCTTTTCTGATAAGATCCTGTTTCTTTTTTCTTTTTTTAATGTACTCCTTCTTTTGTTTATTTTTTATGGGGTTTTTGGCTACTCTAACATTCCCCCTCTGAAGAGGTAACCCTAAAATCTTTTAAGGATTAGATACAAGCTTCCAAATACTTTCCACATTTTTTGGCCTTTGGAACAGAGTATGTCTTTACAGAATTGTAGATAAGACTACAAGTCCTAGATCTAGCTTGCTATTATCTCTCCCAGTGATTATATAATGAATTAATACATGTAAATAATTCATTGTAGAGCTTCTCCCATAATATATGTTAAAATATCTGCTTTTAAATAAATAAGTATAAAAAATACAACTGAATAAAGTTATTTCCTTTTTAGCAACAAATTGCCAGAAGTTTCAAAAACTGCATACAGACTGGTGAAAATTACATGAATGTAAATGTAAAGCAGTAGGTTTATGAATCCAAGGTAAACAGGTATTTCACAATGCTACCTTTCCCCAAAGTGTTGAGGATGGTGGCTCTGTATGAATGTGGAGCATTGCAAGAGTTGACATTCAGCAAAATTCCCTTTATCAACTTCTACTTACCCAGGTTGCCAGACACAGGCTTCCCATGCTTTCATAATGCCTACTCAGTCGTGCCCAGCACACCCACAGGCACACACCCAGAAAGGTAAATGCCCCCTGAGCCTGCTTCTCGAACTTGATCTGCTTCACAGTCGGTTCTGCTTATTTCCAACCCCTTAGAATTTGGTTATTACTAAAACACATTTTAATATTCTGTAAAACAAAAAGAGTCAAATGTAAAGTTAAATGATTGAGATGAGTTGATAACGATATTGGAACAGAATCTAGCTGACTGGGAGGAAAAGGATTCATGAAAATAACTTGCCCAAGTCAGAATTTTTCATGAGAGTCTTCAAGCTTTTAACCCACTTCGAAGAAAACAAAGACCATCAAGATGAAGGGTCATTATACATATGGTCGATGCAAGTAAGACTACATGAAAATGTAGCTAGGGTCTGTACTCAGAGAAAGCCCCTGCTTTGTGTGAAGAGACAGACAGTTGAAGATGCACCCTTTTGTTTCAAATGTTTAAGATAACTATTTTTTTTCTATAGTTCTCTACTCTGAGATCAAAGGTCTTCTCCTGTCTGAATTTTTTTCATATAAATATCATCTTTCCTTAAGCTCTCCATTATTTGTGAAATAAATAATATCCATTTATGAAATATTATGTCAGTTTAAGCGATAAGGACATTTTGACTTAACTGAATAACGCTAAACTCCCAAGTTAACCTGGGAAATGTTCTGTTTATTTCTTTATCATTTATATATTTATTTCGAGACAAGTTCTTGTATGTCCTAGGCTAGCCAAGAACTTGCTGCGTAGCCAGGGATGACCTGGAGCTTCTGATCCTCCTGCCAGTACCTCCTGAGTGCCAGTACCTCCCGAGTGCCAGTACCTCCCGAGTGCCAGTACCTCCCGAGTGCCAGTACCTCCTGAGTGCCAGTACCTCCCGAGCGTTGAAGTGACAAGCATGCCCTGCTATATCCATGGGAAATCTTTTTAAAAATTGTTTTCTGATTATTAGTCCCCTCTAATTTTGTTTATCCTTTTAACACTACATTACAACATAATTTATGAAAAGCTCGTTGAACACTTGTTAAATGTGGCTGTGCTATCTTCTTCAAAAATAAAATAACAAGTTCATGGCATTTTTTTCACATTTAAATTATAAAACTTCTGAGTAGAATATTTCTTGCATATTCTTCCTTTAATAATTTCCTACAATGTTATTCTATAGAAATCATCTGTTTTTTTAAATTTTCTTCATTATTTTTATTTTTTTATGTGTATGCATGTATTGCCTGCATTTAGGTAAGCGTATCCATGTCATGCAATGCCCACAGAGGACAGAGAGGCTGCCGGATCCCTTGGAACTGGAGTTATAGACAGTTGTTAGCTGCCATGTGGGTGCTGAGATTCAAATCCAGGTCTTCTGCAAGCACAGTTAGTGTTCTTAACCACTGAGCCATCTCTCCAGCCCCAATAATCTGTTTTTTAACTGATGCAATGAGGTGATGTTGGATTCTGTCATTAAAGCTCTCTTTCATAGAGCAGTAGGATTCTGGAACAGTATGTTTCATATATTAAAATTGTAGATAATCTGTTTTTAAAGGATGATTTATATCTATCATTAACCTTCTTGTCTCCAAGATTTAGAAAATTTGACACAAAAACACAACTCTCACATCAAAAGGGATGGGATACGAGTTTATTCTAGAACCAAATATAAGTGACCATGTCCCAGGTACACAGATTTAGCTCACCCTAATTTCCATGTTCCAATGTGGAAGCAGTTTCTTGAAGTTTTTATAGTAACAGAACAAAGAAAGTCATAAATCAAGGCAATTTTCAAATACATTGTTGTAAACATTAAGTCAGCCATTAGAGTAAAACAGAAGTTGCAGCTATAGGCCTCAGATGCTCTCTGATGACACTCAGCCTTTTGGTTGGTGGAAGTGGAAGCTAGGGTTTTGTTAAGTTAATATACTCCAAAATATTTTTATCTGTTAGTCACAGGATGTTAGGTCACAGGAGGTGGGCAAGGAATGGCTATTTAGGGGACTCATGATAGCCCAAGATAAATTGTAATTTGTCTCTGGACCAAATTCTCCATTTCATTCACAAAAATAATTGAACAAATAACTTCTCCATTATTACAAAATGTTTATGTTATCATTATAACATTCATTAGTAATGAATTCTTACTAAGTAGAGGCAATATTGTAGGCCGATTCTACACAGCATGAAACAATATAATTTCAGCTTTTTGAAATTATCTTCACTATGATCCATATGCATAACAAAAATCCAGTTAGATAAGCTAAGAA